AGATTTGATATATTCCTCATTATTGCGAATCCTTGAGGTTATCTATAACAGGAAATGAATAGGCATTTCTTTCTGCGAGCACCCAAGGATATCCTGGACGTAACAAGATCGAGAATTTCCCATTGCGAGCTCCTAAAGTAATCACAAACATAACCTGAATAATTAATGAATATTCCTACAAAAATATTGAGTTGTTTTTTTCAATAGCCTTTATAATTCAAATACTGGGTGTCCCAAGTTATCGTTTACAGGCAATATCTCGCCTATTTGTCAAGATATCAAAAGCATTAAAAAACTGCATTTAATGGCATTAAATAACCTTCCTAATGGCTTATGGAGAATGTGATATATTTGGCAGCCCCCGGATGGTAGATACTGATCTAGTAGCATATTGTCTCTGAAAATTGCGTGTCAATCTATTTGGAATACAACGATATAGCACATACTTTGTGTTTTGTTCTTGATAACAACAAAAACATGAACATTTTGTGACTTTTTTACGTTACTCAAATGACAAATTGCTTTCACCCATGTGTTCAAGAAGTTCACAAATAAGAAGTATGGATTGCATTTTTGTTTCGAAATATTAATAACAGATATTCCATTTTGAACTGCAGAACATCAATCATTGCAGACGGTACCTACCTAGTGTAATAATTAATCTAATTTCATTGTGGGACATTTTTACGAACATGGGAGGAGGCAATTTTCAATCGATGTAACGTAAATGAGGTCAAAAAATTTCATTGTTAATGTTGTTTTTAATGAACAAAATACAAAGTACCGATGTGCTATCGTTCATTCCCGAAATAGGATGATTGGCAATTTTCAATGACAATATACAGGGAGTCCATTAAATGAAAATTGAGGAGTTGCTACCAGGTGGCTGTCCAATCTTATACACTTTTTTTTGAGTCATAAAGAAAGTTCTCTGATGTCATTTGAAGCATTTTTAGTATTTTTTGTTCATCTTGTCGAGTAAGCAAGTTTTTGCCGGTACCTTTACGATAACTTGGGACACCCAGTATTAACATGAAATGGGAGTCATTAATCTATGATAATAATAATTGTATACTAGATACTAGATTTTCTTACTGATTATTTCAAATTTTGCAGTGAATTAATGATAATTAATTATCTGCTCTGACGAAAAAGACAAAAATGTTCTAATTCAGGTGGGATCGAGAATCAAATATCTACCTCAAATTCGTGGGTAGATATCGGACGACCTTTATTTTTAAAGGATACCCGGCCAACTCCTCGGAGATTTTTTCAAGTGATAAAGTTCACTTGATCAATGTCTTGCTATAGAATAAATAATATATAATTAAAGTTCATTACGTTGATCTAACTCTAAGTTTGGTAACTCAATCTTTTTCGCTGAAATAAATATCCAGTAAATTTAACTCCACCCCAAACAATATAGCTGGCGCTAGTTAGACTTCGCCGACAGGAGACTGCTGATAACCAATGACTTCTCAAACATTGAACACCTTACCATATTAGTGGCGATCATGTGGCGATTGATGCAAATATCGCTCTTAAAGGCCTCGTTATAAGGTGATGTGCACGGATTCTTGATCAATTCATAGTTGCGAGCACTTGAAGAGTTCGCTATTAGTAATTGATGCGAATTTCCCAAAGTTCTCTTCACAAGGCGATGCGTGCGAAAATCACAAACAGCTCGTAGTCGCGAGCACTTAAAGACCTCGACAGAAGCAATTGATGCGAATCTCCCAATGTCCTCGTCACAAAGCAATGTATGCGAATTTCTCAAACAGCTCATGATTGCGAGCACTTTCAGTTATCGCCAGTGGCGATGGAAGCGTATATCTCAAAGTGCGCGCCTGAGGGCATTGTATGAGAATTTCTGCGTGCGATATCTTCAAGACCTCGCTGAGCTCAGCCTAGGTGGCGGACATTTGGCATAGATATAGCACTCTCGGCGATCTCTCAAAGAAGTTACAAAAGGCATCACAATTTCCTAAAAGGATTTCTTCAAGATATCTTTAGGACCTATTTGTGCTGGCTGGGAATGAGCCATACCACAACAACATAGTCAAATTTCAGCCAATTCGACCGAGAGCCAATTTCCCGTGTGTTCGTGCGGGGTCCTTTGGTTCTGTATCAAAAACTAGATGTCATTAATGACAGAAGACATGTATCGCCCTAGAATTTAATTTTTTTTATAACTGTCTCCATTTGAGACTCAATGTTTGAATGTTAAATCTCAAATGATAAAAGTTTTCATAAAGTCACCCTAAGCCTCACATTCAGAAAGACCGTCAACTATGCAAACAATTTGGAGGAGAGCAAGGTATATACTTTTTGGGAAGCGAATCAAGCGGTACCTACCTGACGATGGATGTCTATTCGTGTGGGCACTGCATTAATTAGCGAGACCTCTAGTAGAAGAACCGAGGGCAGAACTCTTGTTCGCTTTTGTTATGAAGGGATAGTGTAACCTCACTTCAGTAGATGGCGCGGTCGATACGAATATCACAGCCTGCATAAATAAACAAGTAAAGTCAAAGTCTGATTCTGACGAAAATAATCTGTAAATAGCAAGGTAGTGCCTCCTCTATTATTCGATAGATGCCAGCACGCTGGGAAGTTGAAAGGGTCTGGATGTTGCCAAGCTGATTATTTATATGTAGCTTTTGAACTTGAATAGTTATGGTATTTTAGCAAAAGATACGTTTAACGATGTATTAAGTGCTGTTGAATAATTAAATTATTGATTTATTTCAAACTATGTATAACATACGGTCTCATGACAATGCCAATACATGTATGTATAGTATGATCATGAAACATTAATCTGACTCCAATGGCCACGTAAATCTGTCAACTGAGTATGTGAAATCAATTCATGACAGCTATTTTCTGTGTTTTATGAATCATGTGTTTATTTTCCCTCGTGCTCAGTCAGTGGTGCAGACTTTGTGCAGAGATTGTTTCTGTGTAATTTCAACTGTTCACGAAAAATAGCACAAAATGAAAACAAGTTTTTTCGAGTATATGTATGTAGGTCGTACCTATTGGATTTGCTTGAACGACTATAGGAAACTCATAACATATACCATATATGAGTCTAGTAAACTTTTTGGTTGAAGTGAAATCTTTTTACAGCTAATGAAAAATATTATTCAACAGATCTCATCTCCATACATCATCCATATCGTTGTGTTCTGGACAAGCAAAATTGTTTCAATGTGGCTTTTTATATGCACCCTGAAGCCCCGAGTGCTTCTTTGAGAGAATTGGAATTTATTGATTGCAAGAAGTTACTATTATACAGGGTGTTTCAGATTTGAATGTACATAGATAGAAGACACTGTGATGGTTCTAAATCAACACCCATAGATGTGTCTACCGTCTTTGATAACTGAGATACAGGACGTTATCTTGATTTTGGCAAAATCATCATCTGATCATACCTTTTGAACCACTATATGTATAATCTATCCATACGACTTGGTGGAAATATATTCCACTTATATTACCAATCAAAACTAAATGAAAATCGGCATCAGAATCCAGGTCCGTCTTGAGGAAAAACAGAAAACTTCTTTTGTATCAAAAACAACACTCTGTATGGAAAAATTTTGTAGATCTGTTTCGATATTTGAAAAGAGTAGGAAAAAACGGATGGAGTGATCTACTTTTTACGAACGCGCATCCGATTTGACAGATGTTTTATTATTATTTTCTGATATACTCGGCTCCATTTTGAGTCAGTTTTATTGAACTTGTAATTCAAAATCCAATTATTTCACAAAATAAAAACAGTCTTCAAAGTTCAACATCACAGAGTCAAATAGATCTGTTCGTTCGACAGAATAACATCTGTAGTTTTGGAAATTTTTGAGGGCTCGTTTAAAATTCTTCACTTTCGATTCATGAGCTGCGATAAGGTAGGCTGTGCAGAAAAATATGATATTCTGACAGTTCATAATCACTAGTTTGATATTATTGGTAACGTTTAGATTGTTGGTGCTTGTTTATTGGGTTATTGTTACATTTCAAATTGTTTATAACTATGTCTCAACACAATAAACTTAATGTAACCAATTATAGCACACTGTAGATTATGATCTGTCAGCATTTCAAAACTTTTTGCACAGCCTAGTTCACCACAGCTTATGAATGAATACTGAAGTATAAAATGAATGAAAATTTCTCAAATCATTGACAAGCTATTCTGTCAAACTAACAAAATCTACCTATAGTTCACCTAATTTGACTCTAATGAAGTTTAACTTTGGAGAGATTTTTTTTTTCAAAATTGGATTTTGAATCACAGTTCAATAAAAATGCCTCGAAATGGGGTGAATATTTCAAAACATGATAATGAACCATCTGATGTCAAATCGGATGCGCGATCGTAATAAGTAGGTCACTTCCTCAAGTTTTCCGGCTTTTTCCAAATATCGAAATAGATATACAAAATTTTGCCATAGAGAGTGCTGTTTTTGAAATAAAGAAGTGTTCTGTGTTTCCTTAAGACGGACCAGTATTCTTATTTCGATTTTCAGTTAGTTTTGATGTATAATAAAAGTGGAATATTTTCAACAAGTATGGATAGATTATACATCGTGGTTCAAAAATCATGAGCAGATGAAGATTTTGCCAAAATTAAGATGAAGTCCTGTATCTCATTTATAAAAGACTGTGAACACATCAATGGGGGTGAATTGAAACCGTCGAAGTGTCCTCTATCTGCCAATATCCTATGTGCATTTGAGTCTGAAACACCCTGTATATACAATACATCAAAAGAGTTCTTTCTGTCCAAAATGACGCTCAACTAATTTTTTAAATAGGTATTCTTCTTCAACAGACACCAAACATCGCATATCTCTGTTTTGAACTAATTTCTGATATAAATACAATAGCCACATGGATAGCGAATCGGCTGTATACCTACGCTATCAGGACAACCTAAAAAAATCATTACCATTGAAACATCAAATGCATACATAAATAAAACACAATTTTTTCGATTGTAATAGATTTAATTTAAACACACACTATAATGTGATGTCGGTATAGGAACACATTCATATTAAGTACAGTGTAGCCCATACGAACACCGTAAAGTGCTACAGCCATATTCTCAAATAAATAAAAATATTCGAAATAACATATTATCATCAACATTCATAATAATTACAGTTACATTAAATTTGTTGCCATCCTGTCACTGACAAGTTTAATTTCTATTGAAGACCCTGGTCCACTTCCTGACTAAACATTGTGTATGCAAAATTGATTTATTATGGAACAGCAGATAGGAAACATCGTTTTTCATTCCATTCATATGACCCTGAAGTTTTTTGTAGAAAACCCTGTTTGCGTCAAGGTTTCATTAAGAATCTAGCACATGTAAGGTAAGAAATGATTTTGTACATTGGAGTTGATTTTTTTCCCAAAACACAAATATCTAAATCGATATCATATAAAATATGGAATGATATTTGTCATGTCAACGTAGAGGAGAAAAATTTCAAATTATATCAAATTAATATACTATACTTATTATTGTAGTTGAAATTTCACGAATATCATTTCATACTGATACAGGAAAGTCTGAGACTTTCGGAACATTCTTGAGGTGACCTATAGATATAAACTAACTCAATAAGCATTTTGACTTGAACATTTGAACAATATGATTTCATTATGTACAGTAATTCACAACTTTCTCGATTCCAGAACCGAGAACACATTATCCGAATAATCAATAATAATTTATTCAACTTTCTTGTCATCAAAGGTTCTGTGAAAATGTATTCCTAGACTTTCCTGTACATCAATAATATAGATATTTGCAGGAAGGGAAAGACAAAAAACATAAATTTCATTATATTAAGCGGCATCAAGACAACTTATTTTAGAAATATATTATATTGAACAATTTTTTGGTACAATGGGCCTAACTGAACAATCAATAAATAATAATAATGGTATTATGTACAGTTCGCCTTACTGGCCACCAAATGATATGATAGGGAATGTACAGCGGGCTGAAAATTCGTGATAATTTTTTCTTACTATATCAAAAATCCGAATCTTGCAACCCTCAGTCTCAACAGATAAATTTAATTACAAAATTTACAAGTAATCAATAAACTCAATAATCCATAATAATCAAGAAAAAAGTTAAACATTGCTTTGGTATCAGTTACGAAGAATAACGTAATCGTATTACCATCCTTATTTTCAATAGCACGAAATGGTACTGGAATACTAAATATTTCATAGGGAAAATCAATACATCAACACAGGATGGGGCATGAAAACGTAAAAAATACTCCTCATTCCACTTTCAACAAATCGAAAAAGTATTCAACAAGTTCTCAATCAGCTTCTGACACTCAACATAACTCTGAAGATTGCATGACCCATCCCTTACAACTTAGTAAATGTCTTCACAAATATCTCGAATCACTACTCCATTGCAGCTGTCAATAACAAAGGCAAGATTCACCCTTCACGATAACAAAATTCATCTATTCAGTTCATCAGGACTAGTACGTTAAACTCGGAGGAGGGGGTAGTCGCATACCTCCCCAAGGAAAGAGTCATACTGCCTCTTTGGAAGTCATACTCGTCGAAGAATCTTCATCCCCTGACAGCATGGGCATAGTACTCAGCAAATGCCCTTTACCTTGGCTCACTACACACTTTCTCATGTGTTTTTCTAAAGTCGAAGGAACTGAGAAAGGCATTTCACAGAATCTGCATCTGTACACATCCTTCCCTAACCTACCGTGAGTTTTCATATGTCGAGTCAGCTTAGAACTTTGTGCACAAGCGTATGAACATAACTCACATTTGTACGGTTTTTCTCCAGTGTGGGATCTCCTGTGAACTGTCAAATTTGAACAGTTTTTGAACACTTTTCCGCAGTACTCGCAGGTGTCGTTTCGCCGTGACTCTTTCTTCATCATGGGATTCGGCAACATCACACTTGGTCCAGGTATTCCTCCTTTATGTTCACGAGGCATCCCAGACAACCACCAGTCGTTCCTCTCCATTTCCATTTTCATTCTCTTCGAGGCATCATATGAGTCATTGAAAGGGGGAAACAATGGTAAAGGTTGGGGGGGATGCAACGGTAATAATCCTTTGGAGAATTCGTCCCTTATTTTCAATTGTGTTGACAAACTTGTGTTGTTATTGTCGCGATCCTTATTAGCAAACTGTAGCTTCAGAGCTGTATTAGATTCTTGCAACGCTTGCTTATAGGCTTCACTATATTGCGCTATATTGCTCAGGCCAAATTTATCCATCAGTTCACCAACTAGTGAAGCTGATGGATTAAGTTCGTTTTTTGGAATCTGACTCGGTACACTCAAATCTTCTGCTTCTTCCTCATCAATTTCATCGTCATCCTCATCGTCGTCTTCCAATTCATCCTCTTCTTCACTTTCGTCACCGTCAAGAGTCTCTAAGGAGCCAGCATTACTAGTCCTGTCCTCAGGAGTTCTGTGCAATTTCATATGACGTTTCAGCTTCGAGCTTTGTGCACAGGCGTGATCACAGACAGTACATTTATAAGGTAGTTCACCTGTGTGGGTCCTGCGGTGCACCTCGAGGTTATTCTGATAACGGAACTTCTTACCGCAGTAATCACAGTTATGAATGGCGTCCGCAGAAGTTGAATTCCTTGGCGACCCAGGTTTACCAGGTGGAGTGGAAGCCGACCTTGGGGTGTTGACAATCGGTTCTTCGATTTTGTTGTTATTATTAGGTGGTGACGTACTAGGAGGTCTACTTGAACCCCCACTGTTACTGCTGTTATTGTTGTTATTGTTGTTACAGTTACTACTACTACTTGAGCTGATATTATTGGGGATAGAAGTTGGTGGCAGCTGGGAGGGAGAAGGGCTCGTAAAGGGCGGTGAGTGCTTGCGGGGTGACGGCGAACCTGCCTGTGCCGCTCCCGGGCTGTTGGTGCCTGCCAATTGCCTCAACCGCTGCGAGTAAAAATCCAGCTGTGGTTCCAAAGATAAAGGTTGGTTTGGGGTGCTCCTATCCCTATGTGGCAAATTGCTCACGGGATTCGCTCGCTCTGCGGGGGACGGAAAACTAGGATGGGGTGGTGGTGGAGGTGGTACATTTCCGGCTGCGACGGCAGCAGCTGCGGCTGCAAGATTGAGTCCGTGGTGGCGGAACTGTTCGCTCACTAGCTGGTCTATCCTGTAGTGATGTTCTGGTCTCGAGAACAATGGTGCTGGAGGAACTGGGCCGTGGTTCAGGGGTGGTAAAGGTAACCTCAGGAGGCCACCCACACCGAACGGATTGTGAAGGTCAGGTGGGGGTAAGAGATGGTGTCTCATGTTCGGCGGTGGAGGTGGTACCCCTGAAGAACATGCGGAGGAACTGCTGCTGGTACTGCTGGCGCTGTGGTTATTGCTGTGTCCGTGCTTCGAGCTGGATGGGGAGCTCTCTACGTAGATTTTTATACCGTGCGCGTGTTGTACATGCTGAACAAGCCGCCATGCTGAATGTAGACGGGCTTTGCAGGTACTACATACGTAATTGCTGGGTTCTGAAAAAAAAACAATATGTTAGTATAGTCATAATGATGAGTCTCGATGACCTGCATCGATTCATGAGATAATCATAGTCCGTTCTATTGATTCAGCAAATATGTTTTTGTAAATTGATCTTTCGTACTGGTGATGCCCATCCAATAATGGTTATTATTTTGTTGCGGAAGAGTCCACTTGATAGATTAGATATTAAAAAGAAGTGCTTTCATAGTGACGATAGGTCAATATTTCAATTTCACAAAACTATAGTGATCAAAATATACTGCTAGTGGTGTAAAAAAGTTACTATACACCTTCGTAAAATAGAATAATATTACCACGGGACCTCATAACCCTCGGCTGAAGCCTCTGGATTATAATCTTGGTCCATGGGTAATACTGATATTCTTTAATATCTTGATGTATAAACAACTATTTTCCACTTAAAGCTATAGAACCTACCATTATGATGCTCTAGAGAATAAGCTGAATTGAAAGTTAACTATGCATCAAGTGCGCAAAATAGGCTTTTACAGACAGTTGCGTGTAAGTAAAAGATAGAGCGTTAGCGTAGGCTATCAACACGCCAAAGTTCCCTAACACAATGTACGTAGAACATTTTGTGCACGTCCCGGTATATTTGATTTTTTATTGTGAATACCTCTTCACCCCTCTTGAACGATAAAAATACCTCTTGGCTGCAGTGAGGAATGTATCATTATCATTCATGGAATCAACGTTACCATGGTAGCTCAGTCAAAAATTTTAGATACGAATAGACTTTTATATTTGCTGTCAAATAATGTCATAACAGATAACTTATCTTGCATTTCAAGAATATCAAGAGAACTGTAATACTTAATAATGGACCATCACATATAAAATATAAGTATCCTGAAACATACAGGGCGGTGTAGTGATACTTTACGCCTGCTCGTGCATACATTTGTTCATATACCGGATCGAAAAAATCAGTATTGGGGTCACAGGCATTTGAGATTTCTTTCCTGTAACGCTTGATTGCTGGAAAATCTGATCAGAACCGTATTTCCTCATTTTTCGGATTCGCGTTCCATCCAAGAAAATGTTACGATCATATTTAAAACGTACTTAATCGACATCACTGAGGATGTACGGGTAACTGAACAACTCAAAGAGGTCAAATACGAGCGGAGACAGGCGGAAGTGACATTATAATGACAGGGGCACGGTATGAACTCTACAGCATCTTTCCGATACGACCGGCCATTGTCTGGTAAGATGATTTCACGAGTGATTCGCTCAAACGGTGTCCTGTTTCTGCCGGAAACAGTGGTGGAAGTGTTTTGTATGATGAAGGTACTTAGGTATACTGAGTGTTCACTCGAAAACTGATAGAACATCAGGTGAACAAAAAAACCTTTTTGTATCCACATGGTAGGAAATTGATAGTTCAATAAAAATTCAACAAACGATGATATATTTCCACAAAATAACTTCATTTATCACCACAGTTTAGCTAACACTTTATACTGTAAAAAACTGCTCCGAAGAGATGACATCCTTCAATTATGAAGTGTAGGATTCAATTTCAACTGTAGCCTGACTGCAATGGGTATCCACCTTCGAAATTGTCTATTTCAAATCCATTAATGTGTTTATTGAATATATATTTGGATACGCGCAATAATATTATATTGAACTTCAGAGTTGACTCGTGAACTTGTTAAGTGGCCCTGGAAAACATGTTCAATTCAACTACACTTTCCCAAATAATTGACGCATTACCAAAAAGTATCCAGAAGTTTGCGATACATTTTCGTCGAAACTGCTTGTTCGATTTCGTTCGTTCCTTGTTTCGAATGACAGGTTATCTCCTCCTAAATATTGGCGTGCAAACTGTATTCGCATGATAACCTCTTCTTTATAAATACCGGGGGCAGCAATTCAAACGTGTTTTATCATGAAATTTGTACCTTGTAAAGTGTATGACATTATCAAGTTAGAATTTAAATTACACTTCAGCCTATCCTTTTTTCAATATTCCTTTCTTGGATTCTCTCCATTATCTTTCCGATTACTCTATCAACACAATTTCATACCATAACATGATTTTATTGAATATTTGATGTTGTTACAAAAAAATGGATGCCTTACAGCAGAGAGAAACATATTGCAGATTATAAAACCACATATAGTGTAATGATTTTTGTTGATGCAAGGTAATGCCAGGCCTCACGTCGCCAGAGTTGTGAGAAATTATCTATCTGGTAGGTATCGCTACCATGTCATGGCCAGCTCGGAGCGCAAATTTGAATCCCATTGAGAATCTCTGAGACATTCTTGAGACAATATTATTCAGAAGGAACGTAACTTGAATACTATGGGAGACATGGCAGAGCCTGATTCAGGAAAGACCTGGTCCAAAATGACGAGTTATTCGTGCCCGAGAAGACAATACTTGCAAACTATTTCGTTTTACTTATGACTTCGCATTCTGCGCCATAATTACTGCACCCGGTATGTATAAAAAAATAGGTTTACATGAGATTACACACCAATGTTCAGAAGGAGATAGATTGTCATTTAAAAAACAAAAAACGTCTTAAACCTTTGGATTCTTTTGGTGGTGGGTTAATTTCCTGAAGAAATGTAGTTCAGATGAAATACTCGTACAATGAATTGACCTAAGATTACCCTCACTAATCTATATTCACGGATCCTAGTGATCGAAAATACATGCGCGTAGGCTATTTGATCTTCCACCCCAGAAAGTATGCATAATATCTACATTATCCTCATGTTGGGTGCGTATCTATATGCCGACTGGACATCAACTTCTATGGAAGTCCTACATCCCGTATGAGTGTTCTTAATAATTTTGTTTGTATGCCTTATCACTAACTCCACACGCCATCCTAAACAGCACTGTTCATTTGAATGCAACAGTGAATCGTGCAGGACAGGATAAATCGAATTGAATATTTCCATGCACAATCCTTGATCTATTATTATATTATTATCAAAAATGGCGGCTCTGAATAGTCAATTCTTAGTTTTCTGGTAAACATCCATAGGGGTATCAAATTTGTACATCCACGTTTCTCCTGAGCAATAATGTGATGCTTCATTACTTAAGACTCAACCATTCATAAATATCCACTGGAAGCAGACTAGAAACTTTTCCGACGTATAGCGAATTCCCAACCAAGTCACGTCTGGCACACCCTGGACTGCTCAGAATTTCCACCGTAAACGTCCAAACAATTTTTCATCCACGATTTTCACTGCATTTTCCAGAGGGCCGGCCCCCAAAGGGGCGGTAATGGTCTGCCAACATGTGGCCGAAAAGGCAGATCGCCAACTTATGGACATTTTCAATTGAATTTTTCGTGGTTTATGCTCGGTTTTTACTGATTTATGCAAATTTATTCGGCTGAGTTTGCTTTTCAGGGCAGCTGGCGACATTTTTTGTAGGGTGCAAATTATTTTAGATGAAAAGGCGACCCTTCCAAATCGAAATTTTAATACGTCTACGTAATTATGTCAAATAGTTATTCACAGTACAATTAATGCTCACTTTGATGTATTTGAAGTGTGTCTTCTTTTGAACCTACTGGGACCACTTCAAGACATGGATGATTTTCATGAGATCCATGATTCATCATCAAGGTGCCGCAGTTCCTCACAATATACCTTATATGGAATTATTTCAACCATACCTGACCATTTTGAATATTCAAAATGTGAGGAAATACCACTGTTAATATCTCAGACATTCTCAAACCTCCGTTGATAAAAACTTATAATAATAATGATAATAATAATACTAGCTAAAACTATGATAAGCTATATCTATAGCTATGTTCATAATACTATAGGTTTATATCGATATCAATATAAGAGAATTAACGAAGAGAATATAAAATGTCAATGATAATCATTAATGAGCTGAGATACGTTAGTGGAACACTGCATTAACCATAGGAGTGCCAGAGGGGTCAATTGATTTCATTCAAGATCCAATTTGTGTAGATAATAATAATGATTTCAGCTTTTTTTTGAAATTCAAAATACTATAGTCATAAAATTCATTGGGTAGTTGATTATATGATTCACAGGCATTGTACGTAAAGGAACGTTGAAAGGTAGACGTCTTATGTTTATAGATTGTCAGCAATCGTGAATTCCTAGTGCAGTATTCGCTGGTATCACCTATTCTTACAAGTTTTTTTAGTAAATACGGAGGTTTTTCAATCTTTAATATTTTATGAGTAAGAGTGAGCAAATGTGATTTTTTAACATCCAATAATCTGAGCTTACCCGCTTCTAGAAATTTATGGCTAATGTGGTCATACTTTCGTATTCCATGGGAAAATCTAAAGCAGGAGTTCTGAATTTTCTGCAGGCGGTCACTGTCGCGGTTTTCAAGAGAGCTGGTCCATATACACAATCACAATAAGCAATGTTTGAAAGAATAAGAGACTCACAAACTTGAAGTCTCAAACTAGAATTCATGGCATGTCGATTCGGGTAAAGCTGTTTTAAAATATTGTAAGAACCACGACAAAGTTAATTGACATGTTTTGTGAATCTCAATTCTGTGTCTACCCATAACCCCAAGTTTTTTACCTCGTTCCTAATGGGAATTGTGTTACCGCCCATGACGATATCTGGGGAAGTACTGGCAAGCTCACGTTTAGCCTCTCGAAATCAAGAAATTTGGAAGACAATCTCAAGTCTTCCAATATATCAAGTTCCACATATTTTGTATGTGTTGCAGAATCTTCGAGTTTCACTCCTGTTATTTCAGACTAAATGCTTCTTAATATGGTAAATATAACTGAATCATTGGAAACAATATATTGCTTTCGGAATTTTGAATATATTTAGTACAACTAGAGCTCAACTACAATCTCCTATAAGTCTGAATGAAACAAACACAAAATTTGTAACATTCTCTTTTCTACGAAATGAATAGCCTGAAATACCAACTCATATACATCAAAACAAAGGACAAAATCTATAAAATATCTTG